CTTTGCCAAAAGATAAAAACGTGTTTAGCAGATAAACTACCTAACCCCAGATAATCTGCATGCATATATATATATATATATCATAATCTGCTTTAAAGAAATTGAAAATTCAAGATGGGAAAGTTAGTTTTTGTAATAAATCTTTTGAGTTATCTTATCTATATGCTATTTTCTTGCTCTTTCCTTACTTTCGTTACAAAAAAGGAGAAAGGACACTACAAGGTGCTCTTTACCATTTGAATGGTACCTTTTCCCCCCACATCAGTAAATGTTTTGCCACTTATCGAATCTTAGATGAGCAGTAAGCACTGTGATTTCAGCTGCCAAATAGGAAATATATAATAATAATAATAATATAGTAGTTGTCGAGGTCTGAGTTGGACTGGTCTTTGGTCCAATTTCCGGTGCAAATGGATTCAAATTGTGTCAGATGGGGGGTACACATTCATATGAAGACCTGGATTGCATAAACCTAAAGTAATATCATATCCATTATTGTAATCTACATTAATAGACAGTACTAACATAGATTGCTTTATTCTAATGCTGTTTGAAGTTTGAACCCTTCCTACAACGCACTACCAGTACCAGCAAGCTCTGAATAATGGTTCCCCTCTCAATGCCCTTTTTCTGAGTGTCTTTTCTCTGACCAATCTTTGGCTTCTGTGACAAGTGAGAAGTGAGAACTCCATGTTATAGATTTAGAATTTGATGGATTAATGTGTACAACACATAAAACAAAAAGAAATGGCCTAAGCCCAAGACAATCTATTAAATTAATCATATAAATAACTACACCATTAACCCTCTGCAGCTTTTGTTTTTTAGAGGAGTTTGTCAAATATTATATGTTCAAAACCTTACAGATCCAGCCCAACATCAGATTCCCCCTCCTCTCTACAGCTGGTTTTTGAGAGAGAAGATAGAGATGGCCATTCAGGATTTGCAGCAGAGGCTTTTGCTCTCCTTTTTCTTCGCCTCAAAAGTAAAAACAAAGCTAAGGTAAGTAGACAGCTATTGGATCAGTATTATGGCATTTTGATGATGGCTTCTTCTGGGATATGAGATGAAACTAAGCTCTGCTCACAAGCTTGTTATATTAGGTGCTGAGGAAAGAGTTTTGTTTAGATTAAGCATTAATCGATATCATTCATTTGTTGTTTCAGTCTTTGAGAGCGAAGGCTGAATGATTCCCGTCGTCTCCATCAAATGAAAACTAAAAGCTGGTAGCAGATTATGGGGTTTAATGGACTGCTCCACATGTTGTTAATACTTCCGGTCAAATCTATTCCATCATGGGCACAAGAAAACAGGTGCAGCTCTGACGGAAGCGAGGCCCACAAAATGAAGTGAGATAAATCACATGCAGATTTCTCCTGTGTGAGGACATCACTGTTGCATTCATCTTCTGCCACAGACCTTGGTCAGAGCCATTCACTCAATTATATCTGTCAGCGAAAATTGATGCAAAAGAATCCAGGACGGGGTCAGGATCCTTGGTGACACACAAAATGCAAGGGGCTTTTATCTGCTTCCACACTGTGATGATAACTTGCAAAGTACAAGCAGAGAAAAGCACCATTATGGTGTAGACTCTAGAGAAGAACATTGTACAGCACTACAGCTTAGCTTTCTTAGAAGTTGGAAGAAGTGAGATCTACTGGACCGCTACAGACATCGAAACCTTCACGGCTATGGGTGAAGAAGAAGCATCAGTATCGGGTAGTGGCAAACTTTCTCAAGAAAACCATCCCAGCGGCCTCACCATCAAGACTTCTTCTTGTTGCAGCAAAACTGGTAAAGATGCTTTAACCTTAATCCCTACGGATTTGCATTCTCCAAGCTTAAAACCCTCAATTGAGTCATCTCCATACAACTCTCCATCCTTGGTGTCCCCACCCTCGTCAGCATTTGTTTCAGCTTTACAGTCGCCATATATCTCACCAAGAGCCACAAACCCGAAACCCCAAGAGAACTCAACTCCGCAAGATAACCCCCCTCTTGTTACTCATCCATCACCGCCAGTCTCATTCAGGGGGCGTTCGCAATCTGATGATACACCAAGTAGTTCCTACACTCCCCCATCAGACCAGTATGAGTACTCTGATGACCCTGCAGATCCGAAGCTCAAGTTTGTTACTTGTGTTCCAGTCCCAGATCCTGCTCCACGCATCTCATTCTCATTCCCAGTGCCTCGAATTTCCTTGGCAAAAGCTCCTGTTTCTCCGGCTTCTAATGCCAAACTCAGGAGCTGTGATGTTTTCATTGGCTTCCACGGTCTAAACCCAAACTTGGCTCGCTTCTGTAAGTGGCTTAAGTCAGAGCTGGAGCTTCAGGGAATTGCTTGCTTTGTTGCAGATAGAGCCAAGTATTCAGATAGTCAGAGTCATGAGATTGCTGACCGAGTCATCTGCTCAGTCACATATGGAGTTGTGGTGGTCACTAATTCTATCTTTCTCAACCATCTCAGCCTGGAGGAAATTAGATTCTTTGCTCAAAAGAAGAACTTGATTCCACTCTTCTTTGACACGGGACCTGCTGAGATCATGGGACTTCTCAACTGCAATTCAATTAATAAAGAATGCAAAGAGGCACTTGACGGACTAATCAAGAGTCATGAGTTCAAGCTGGAAGCCAATGAGGGTAATTGGAGAAGCTGTGTAGCTAAAGCTGCACGAATATTGCGAGCAAAGCTCGGAAGGAAGAGCGTGGTAGAGACAGATTTTGTTGGTGAAGGATTTGAGGAGCTGCCCTTTCCAAGAAACAGGTTTTTTGTGGGAAGAGAGAAGGAGCTAATGGAGATTGAAACGGACTTATTTGGACATGCTGATTCTCTTGAGCAAGATTGTTGCTCTATGCCTATTATAAAAGGTGAAGCAAGCGGGCAATCTGAAGGGCTTGCTGATGAAGAAAGTGATCATAATGTTTCCAGTAGGGGGAGGTACATTAATTTGGAATTGGGTAAGTGCAAAGAGCCTACGCTAGAGGCATTGGTTGAGCCAGTTATGGGAAGAAATTCAACCAGAAGGTCTAAATACAAGAAATCAAAAAGTGGGAACTACAAGAGCTTAGGCAGCAGTGTGATTTGCATCAATGGGATTCCTGGCATTGGAAAGACAGAGCTTGCTCTTGAATTTGCCTACAGGTATTCTCAGAGATATAAGATGGTTCTTTGGGTTGGTGGAGAAGCCCGATATTTCCGGCAGAATATACTGAATTTATCACTCAATTTGGGATTGGATGTGAGTGCTGATGATGAGAAGGAAAGAGGCCGCATTCGATGCTTTGAGGAGCAGGAATTTGAAGCGTTCAAGAGAGTGAAGAGAGAGCTCTTTCGAGACATGCCTTATCTGCTGATCATCGACAATCTTGAGACGGAGCGAGAGTGGTGGGAAGGAAAAGACCTGCAGGACTTGATTCCTAGGAACACCGGAGGGTCTCATGTGATTATCACAACTAGGCTATCAAAGGTGATGAATTTTGACACAATGCAGCTTCCTCAATTGCCTTTGTCTGATGCAATGATTGTAGTAAGAGGAAGAAGGAAGAAAGACTATCCAGCTGAGGAGTTGGAGTTTTTGAGAAAATTTGATGAGAAATTGGGAAGATTGAGCTTTGGTTTATGGATTATTGGTTCACTGCTTTCCGAACTTGCCATTTCTCCATCTGCACTCTTTGAAGCTGTAAACGACATCTCACTTGAAGATAATTCTACTTCATTATCTATGAGCACTAGTGGTGACCAATACTGCAAGAATAATCCTTTCTTGATGAAAATTCTATGTTTTTGCTCTGATGTCTTACAGCAAATTAATGGGAGAAGGAACATTCTTGCCTCACGAATGCTTCTTGTTGGTGCTTGGTTTGCACCAGCACCCATTTCAGCAAATTTGCTAGCTATTGCAGCTAAGTATATGCCTGTTGCTGGGAGCCGATTCAGAAGGTGGACTAAGTGCCTAAGTCTCACGTTTGGTTGTTGTGGTGGATGCGGTTTAGCTACTCAAAGTGAAGAAGATTCTGCTATTCTCCTAGTAAAGCTAGGATTGGCAAGAAGAGCTAATCGACAGACAGGATGTTGGATTCAGTTCCATCCTATAACTCAAGCATTTGCAAAGAGAAAAGAGTGCTTATCTGCTGCAAAAGCCACAGTCCAAGGCATAAGAAAAACCGGTAACCTCTTTCTGAATTCTGATCATCTATGGGCTTCTGCATTTCTTGTATTTGGATTTAAGTCCGAACCCCCTATTGTGCAACTGAAAGCCATTGATATGGTTTTATATATCAAGAAGACGGCACTACCATTAGCAATCAGAGCCTTCACAACATTCTCAAGATGCAACTCGGCATTGGAGTTATTGAAGGTGTGCACAAATGTGTTGGAGGAAGTAGAAAAGTCATTTGTATCTCAGATACAAGACTGGTGTCATGGGTCGCTTTGCTGGAAAAAGAAGTTACAAGGTAATCAAAGGGTGGATGAGTACGTGTGGCAAGATGTGACATTGTTGAAGGCCACCCTATTGGAAACGAGGGCAAAGCTGCTGTTAAGAGGTGGGCATTTTGACAGCGGTGAAGAAGTCTGCAGAACTTGCATCAGTATTCGGACAGTGATGCTTGGGCACAATCATACCCAAACCCTGGCTGCTCAAGAAACACTTGCAAAGTTAGTGAGAATGAGGAGCAAGATATCATAAGCTCACTCTCCAGAGAAGTTCAGTTTTGTTCGCAATGTAAAACGCAGCCGAATTTTTATTTTTCCATTGACTTGGATTAGATACTTTTGTTGATTTTCTCTGTGTGAGTAAACAGTGTGCTCGGAAAACAGTCTGCCACTCCCACGGCAAGGAAGATAAGTCCCATGTTAGATGGAGTGTGTCTGAATTCCGAGATGAGTAAAGTGAGTCATCTACATATGGTTTAGAAGCAGATACCGAGATCAATTCTCTAATGCCATTGGTAAGTGATAAACCATTGTATATTTGTTAAACTATTAGTAGATTGAATTGAACGAAACCCAGAAAGAACAACCTTTTTTCAAATAAAAAATCCAATGCAAAGTCTGAGAATCTATGACCAAACTAACTACCAACAACAACATACAAAAACCAAGCCAAACCAAACCAAAACCAAAACCAAAACCAAAACCTGTCAATCAAAATTCAAAACCTCTCTCCCACCCTTGCCAGTACCCTTTTAAAGAAAGAAAAGGCAAAATTCCTGCTAATTCGGAGAGGGGGAAGCAGATGTTGAGCGGACCAACCCAGTAGAAACGGCGTCGTTCTCATCGAGAAAGAGGCCATCGGAGTTCCTAAGAAGGGCATGGACCCCGCAGACAAGGACCCCGATCGCTAAACCTAAAGCCAAATTTTGGAGGACGCCGCACACCCAGACAGTCAACCCGGAAAGGAAAGCCAAAGAGAAGAGCACAAGGCGATCGCTGACGCAATGGCCCCAGAGCACGAGTGGGTCCTCTCTGAAGAAGAAGAGGAGGAGCCAAAGAGCGAAGACGGCGCAGCAGAGGAGGAGCGAGAGAGGGGAACCGATGAGGGAGAGGGCCGAGGTGGCGGCAACGACGAGGGAGTAGTTGGCGGAGAAATAGCGGAAGTTGGCGGGGGCTCGGGAGAGGAAGGAGTTGGGTGGGGAGAAGGATCGGGAACCGGAGCCGAGGAGTTGAGGCCAGGGGCGAAGGTGGCGGGAGAGGGTGGCAGTTAGATTGTGAAGGGAGCGAGAGATTGACGTGAGAAAGAGAGATGGGGATGGTGGTGTACGTGGCGGGCGCTGATTGGTGGTTCTGCATCTCGTTAAATTTTGGTCCGAGGAGAGGACAAGGCAACAAGAACCGTTGAAAGTGGCTGGGGACGGTTTGCTTGGGTTCTGTTTGTTGCTTCCTTTCAAACTCCTGTTTGGAACTATACGCAAACAGAGGGATAGGGATAATGGATAGGGATAGGGTGTCTGCCTGGGTCTCTCTCTCCCTCTCTCTCTCTCTCTCTTTATAATAATTCCTTTCTTTTTAACCCTTTTATCCCCTTTACTTACTTGATAAAAAAAAAAAAAGCAGCAACGAAAATTGAAAGGTTGGGGTTATGAAACACTGCCGCGCCATGTCAAAGTCCCATTCCCATATAAAATTTTGCAGCCAAAAAAAAATTTCAAAATTAAGACCCAAATCAGAGCTATTATTTTAAAGTATTAATTAATTGTTGGGCCAACTGCCACGATGATGTATAGATTGCCAAAATTTTCAACACTGGATATTAGGGGCAGTTAAACCATATGCTAGTACAATAAATACATAGAGTAAAATAATCCCTTAAGGTTTGCGTTGTTATTTGTTTCACAAGGAAAGGAATAGCAAGTGTTTTTGATGTGAACATGGTGGGCGTGATAGCAGTATTCATGGGTTTATGTTTTAGTCAACCTAATGATTATGAAATGTATACTATGCTTACATCCTGGCTGGCTTTGGCTTTGCCTGAGGATAAAATGAGAACTTAAGACAGACATTGAGCATTGTTAGGGATCGAGAGAGAGAGGGACAGACAAGGAATGGCCCACAGAGCATTCTTGTTTGTGAAGAGGTGAGCTTTTCACCATGCAAAAACGCATATCCCACCCCACGTTGCATCGCTCCCTTCACCCAATACCCAAACTTACAACCTCAAAGTGGGTTGGAAGTGCCATTTCAAAATTATTACACACTCTCTCTCCCTATCTATCTATCTATCTATCCATCCATCCATCTTTCACTCTCCCCTCTCTAAAGGTAAAACATTTGCAACACAACGGCCATCTCCTCTCCTTCTTTCTCCTCTTACCACAGCCAACCCCATCATGACTCCACGTCCTACTCTTATTCTATAACGGCTATGTATGTTTCACGCTGTTGCCAAAACCAAATTTCGATGTTTTCCTCTCGGGATTACTCACTCCTCACTTCTCTTTAACTTAAAAACAGGAGCTTCACTCAATCTGCTTTGGGGCTCCTGCATTACTATTAATTCCCCATATGCAACTTAACTTCACTCGTCTCCTGCCCCACACCATAACATTATTATCCCTTTTCTCACAAAATTCTTCTACTTCTACTAATATGTATCCTCCTTGGATGTCAAAGACCGGTAAACTGTTATCCTTGCACAGGAGATATTATATTTTATGTAACACTCATGCATATATATGTATGAATGTATATAGCAATTAGCTTCAGAAGCGTAACCTTCTTGTTCTTACATTTTCCTCGTTTAGTGTCAGACATGCATGCTGCCATGCCATGCAAGATTCTCACCCTGAGTTGTCAATGGCTTCAGCTGTGAAATTAAGATGAATTGAAAGCTCCTCTATCCAGTACATCTTTTAAATTGTCCTCAGGATACCAGTCACTAACACAACTATTGACATCTTATGTTGTCACAAAGTCAAGCAACAATAAAGCTAAAATTGCCATATATATCGACTTTAATGATCCTGAATTCATCAGCTGATGAACGATATGAATAATTCATCACATCACAGATTACCCCAGTTTGAATAACTATAGCGGCACAGGTTACCACAGCAGTAGAGATTGAAACTTATCAGAGGTCATAATATTAATGCCTACACCTAGACCATTTATTAGTGAGATTTGACAATATCATTGCCTGGAGTCCCTGCAGCTGGTTTGAAAACGTGAAAAACAGCTCCGCCGAAAATCACTGAGAAAAACAGGATAAATACTTTTATGGGAACACTTTTTAACTCCATTGGCTTTAAGCCAAGGTCCCTTTGTCAGTTTTTATTCAAGGATTGCTTATACATTATCTAGTCTCTGGGATAACTTTAAAATTGCCTAAGCAGAAGCCTCAAAAACTGCATGAAGTTTACCCAACGGTAAGTGAATAAAAAATAAATACAAACTCTGAGATCTCATTTGCTGAACTTGCACCGATTCTATTAATCAAACTGCCATTATTTTAGCTGTTGAAAATCATTTTCGAACCCCAAAAGTTTGTCTGTCAGTTGTCACGGAGAAGCTCAACATTCAGTACAAGTTTGATATGAAACCTGCTGATGCATAGACCATCTAAGGATTCCCATTCCAAGCAAAGCTGCTAAGACAAACTTGGAGAATAATAGTGTGCAGATCTGAGATGGCTTGTTGAGGGCGATGCAGCCATAAAAGGACCCCGCTGCAGCACACCAGAACCTTCTGAAGTGCAGTCCCACCTAACAGGACTAGCATTGGCTCTCCTGGAAGGGATTGTGTGAAAGTTGTTATTGTGCACCACTGTTGGGTCACCTATTAAAGGAGAGTCCTCAGACTGATAACGAGAAAAAGGATTCTTGTGCCTTAAAATATGATTAGGAACTAATGGCATTGAAATGCCATATGATATTAGTTGGCTTTCCCTCAACCCTTCAGAGTGTTTGGCAATGTCAGCTGTCTTGTTGGTTTCAGTTTCAGGAGCATCATCAATGACAATGACTTCTTTACTGGAAAGAGCAGAATCCCCATAACGTTGTTGGCAGTCTAAAGTTGTAACTTTCTCCATATCATATGTTGCTGCTGGACCTAGTTTGTTCTTAGGTCTATTTGGTCGAGTTGGCAAATTACAGTTACCTTCATAATTGTACAGCTCCATAGAGGCTGTGAAACCACAATCCATATGCTCATCAGGAACCATGCCAGCAGGAAACTGCAAAGATGCTTGTGGTGTTGCAAGACTTGCACGGTTTCTATAGCCATTTGTCAACCGAACATCAAAAGATTGCCCCACCAAATCATTTGGATTCTGATCAAAGATTAAAGAACCCTGAGACATTGTGTGAAGGAAGGACAGACCACCTTGATTCCGGATATCGCTAGGGGAGATTCCAGAAGAAGTTGGAAAGTTAGGAGTTAGACGATTACTCTGGGCAGATGACTGGGCCTGACCCAGTGGGACAGATGCATCTTCCTCTTTATTAACCACCATTAAGTTCTTTCCCATCAGCCTGAGAATGGGATTGGAAGAAGATGGACTAGCAGAATCACAGTTACTGCGAGTGGAAAGCTTGACGCCAGTATCAGGGCATCCTTTAAAAGGAATGGGACCTGCAGGGGGTTTCACGGTAGCGAGAACCATTTGTTCAGATCCTAAATTTGCACCACTGCTCAGAGAAAATGTTTCTGGTCTTGCATCCAAATTATTATGTCTGATATTTGGATTGGTACCAATTTGCATTCCTGTGGCAGGCAGCATCATTGAAGCCATTGTTCGTCGCCTTAGTAGTTGTGACTCCTGATAATTTAGGGAAAAACTCTGAGAGGATCTCTCTTTTCTTTGGCAACAGCATGGCTGATCGTCATTTTTAAAAATCAAAGGTCTCTTTTCCATAGATATTCTATGGACTCTATATTTCTCTCCTTCAAATGTTCTTTCAGGTCCCATGCTTGTCTGTGGAACTGCAGCACCATTCTCAACTAAGGGCTCAGGCTTGGCAGTAGAGTAGCCAGATCTATCCCTTTCTAGAGCTGCAGGAGCACCAATGAATGCTGATGGTTCTGCATACTTCAAATCTGACCTAGCTTCTGCAGAATTAGAGATTGTTGACACTGCAGATATGGGTGAATCTGATGAGTCCCCATCTACCAAATCAAGCTGATCTTGAGAGGATTGAATCCGGCTGGTTGTCAATGATGAATTCCCTTGAAAATCATCAGAGACCATATCCCTAGGACTAGGCAAAAATGATCCTGGCGGACCGGGAATAGGTATTGGATCAACCTCAGGAAAAGAGTTCCCTTGTGCTGCATCAGAATCTAGTTCTCCTCCCATATTAGAAGTTTGTCCAATTATACCATGGTCAACTTCAGCACAAAACATGTTCGGTTTATCAACAAGACTTGGCCTAGTAGGGTCCGGCAGTCTTTGACCCCCACATAAAGGTCCACTGTAATCCTCAATAGATTGTAAAGAATTGGATCTATTCTTGGAAGGATTACTCAGTTTGTTAAACTTGGTTTCTACTGACTGACTCAAACTAGTAACCGTCTCCTCAACAGATTCCAAACCATCAACTTTATCCAGAATATCTTCATTGCCTCTAGCAGAAGAATCTGTGTTCTCCCTCTCATCATGATCATAACAGTAAGGTGCCGATTGTATGCTCTTCAAAGGCATGGTTATCTCCCTCCCGGAAATACTTACTCTTGCTCTTTGTTCTCCAGTTCCCTGGACACTGCTTCCACCAAATGACAGTTCTTCAGCAATCTCTTTCCCCCCACATTGATCATTAGCACCATCATGCACCAAATCACATTCTTGATCTGCCTCAGGGCCCCAGGCCATTACCTCGTCATCTATTACTGCCATAAAATGCAGTTGACTCTCCCTCGTTGAATATTGCTCAACCATGGATGACCTGTTGCTAGCAGACAGTACATTTTTCTTTGGTGAGGATCTGAAGCATTTGGATGCAAAAGAATGATGACTTATAGTTGTAGTAGCAGTGACAGGTGTCTCAGGATTACTATTTGCATCACTATCAACCATTTTTTTGCTCAATGAAGATGTGCAATTTCCACCAGAGTTCAGAGATCTCACCATATGATCCTCATGTACAAAGGGATGGTCTTTGCTCAACTGATTTCCACTTTGCTTAAGTGGGTGAAGAGACCTCTCCACATTGTTACAGATTCTGGCTCCAATCAAGGGACTCCTTACTCTCTTTCTTCCAAAAGAACGCTCCCTCTTATCAATAACTGGGGCTTCATAAACAGGCTTTTCTATCCTCTCACATTTCTCAGGAGAAGAAATTGGATTTTCAGATGAAATTTTAAACTTGTGAACACAATTTCTCTCCACCACATGATCCCCTTGACGTGATTGGTCACTCTGAACCCGCAAGTCTGGAGTAACATGCCATTTACAAATCAAAGGTTGGTGTCTAGCTTGAGTATTAGGCTTCCTTGAAAGACCTGCTCGTTTAGAGCACACCCGTTGCCTTAAGTTTCTAGAATCACTAGATTTGATTTGCTTTGGCACCTGTGGGCCTTCACTCCTGCTACTTTCTTCTACTCCACAATATCCTTCTTGACCTCCAACTATCTGTTTAAGAATAGTATATCAACTATATCGATCAACAAAACTAAATTCTTCAATCACAAAAATTTGCATCAAAGATGAAAGTTAAAATTTCTTTAGACCAAGAAAACATATAGATATATATATAT